TCACTCCTTCATGCATTTGACCTCTTCTCTCTCTTCAAAAATCAGCACGGTTGCCAGTGACTGAAGCAAGGCGAAAAGTGAGCCTGCCACTACATCTCCAATGAGTGATTGGATGAAAGCAGCCAGAGATCCTGGGAAATATCAGTAATGAGGTTTATATGTTCATAGCCCAGTGTTATTGAAGCAAAAAGCTTACCACCAATCACACCCCAGGGAGCAAAACCGATGATGAGGAGAATAAGAGGAGCAACGAGACAGACTATAATGAACACCCCCAAGACAGTTGTTGCATCGTTCGGAATGGCTGTAGAGAAGTAGTCAATAAATCAAGGATACATGCGATCAGCATAACGGTGACTTGCGAGGCATGTGTACTTGAGGTTGTCAGGTGACTGATGGTCTGAGCTCGCTACGACAGAGTGGTTGTAGTCGAAGGGTACTGCATCAGGGAAGATATAAGGCTGAGCCTACCTGAGAACATGCGGCTCCATGCAGTCAGGCTCCGACTGACTATGGCAATATCTTCCAACTCATGGTCTCGATGATGTTTCATGCGCACGGTTAATCGATGTTTGAAGCGAATCATGGTATCTTCACGTAGATATTTGGTATAAGAATCCCTGTAGGTCGGGAATGTTTGAATATATAAGGCATGCATGACGAGGCACTACCGCAGAAGCGAACTAGCTATAGTCTCCGCTCCTGTATATAAGGGCTATCACTTTGATCCTATAATACCCGTGAATTGGTCTGTTGTCCGGCTGTGCGACGCTCCTCCACTTGCTTCATTATTGCTTTGACGACTCCGGTGAGTGCTAAAAGAGAATCTCTTATAGCACCGAAGATCACAAAGAAGAACCCGAATATGATGGGGGTTACTACACGGAGGATATCGTAGATGACTAGGGCGACTGGTTTGACGATATCGTAAACTCTCCATACTACATTGGGCATTTTCTGGCCAACCGTGCTGATTTTTGAAGAGAGAGAAGAGGTCAAATGCATGAAGGAGTGAAGGACAGCTTCTGGACCGCGAATGATACTGAATATCGTTAGGCTCGTGAATCCAACGATGACGGCTGTAACGATTCCAGTGGCGGCAGGAGCAGTTCCCATTGATTGAAGCAAGGCGAACAAAGAACTTGGGGTAACCTTTGTCACGGAAGATTGGAAAGACGCAGCGAAAGAGCCTAAGATTGTGTTCAATTTTCATCTCAGTAACTAAATCATAAGGTGGAAGCCGGGTCAGGAACTTACCACGAGCAACTCCCTCAGAACGGAAACCAACGAGAGAAATAATGAAAGGAACGGCGATACAAGAGACGATCGTCATTCCGAGAATGGACAGAGCGTCATTTGGAGCGGTGGCTACACCAAATACATCATTGTCCAAAAGTAAATGTGAGCATATTACTCACAAGTCATAACCCCTTGTCTTTCCCTAGACCTTGGAGTGAGTTGGGTCTACTGGGATGGGGTGGTTGAGGTCGAAGAATTGGTTGTTGAGGAAATTAATTCAGCTGTGCCTGTTGAGACGTGGCAGTATACAGTCAGGCTCCCATTGTTTTATAGCAAGTCCAAGTGCTTACAAAGTTTATAGGACTCGAGTCTATTTTACTCTCAATTGTTACCTACCCGCATGCGATACATAGCGATTAGGTTGGAGGCGGGTGGTGCTGATCACCTAACCCTTATTGTATTTTCTCGGTGGTTACGAGTCGAAAACGGCCATAATTATCTCGCATGGATGTGGATCTAGGGGATGTATTAGACTTGGAGAAACAGTCTGTACAAGAGAATACCTCACTGAGCCAAACCGTACACAAGCGCACACTTGCTCTCCCTGCGTTATTCGTGTCACAGATTTTACGATATCGGATACCGTGACGGATTCGAACATGGAAGGGTGCACGGTTTGATCGAAGGCCGAAGTTTGGGAAAAGAAAAGGGCTTTGAGATGTGGGAGGAGGTGGGCTTTTACATGGGGTTTGCGACAATCTGGAAAGCAGTTTTGGATTCTCAAACAGAAAAAAGGTTGGCTGAAACCAGACCTGATAATCGGTTCTGATACCTTTCATGCAGTTCTGCAGCCCTCTCGCATCTAGCCCACCTGCTAGAATTGGCCGAATCGTTTCCAACAGCAAACAGATCGACTCCTATCCAAGGTATGCACATTTATCCCAAATAGTGACATTTTCTCAGCAAATTCAAGGAACCGCAACGGATACCTCGAACGAAGATCAAGGAGTA